ACCGATTCTCGCAATGATTGAACATATTCGCAGCAAGTTGCAACAGTGGTTTCATGACCGACGTGAAGAATCCCAAAATTGCATGAGTGTACTAGCTCCGGCACAAGAAGATCGACTATTCAAAACTCTGGAAGTGGCAAAAGCTCTATTTGTGGAACCACTAGATCAATTTCACTTCTCCATGAGATGCGGGCGTAATGTTGGATACATTGTAGAATTGAATGACAATACCTGCACGTGTAGAAAATTTCAGTTGGAAAGTTTTCCATGTGCACATGCTGTCGCAGTGGCTATGTATAGAGGATTTCCACCACACAGCTTGTGCAGTCATTATATGACTGATTTTTGGAGAGCAGCGTATGCCGAAACTATATTTCCTCTACCAAATGAAGTCGAGTGGTAAGTTCTTGATTATATTGTAGCACTTAATAATTTGTTGCCACCTGAAACTCCACCGCGTACTCCTGGTCGTAGACGGACGTCTAGAATACCATTTACAGAAGAGTTTCCACAACCGCGTAAGTGCGGGAGGTGCGGCGCTACAAGATATACACGTCGATTTTGTACAAACCAGATCCCACTAAACAATGACTCGACGGATGTGTAGTATCTATATAAATCATATGTATTCTCTATTTGTCATGTGTTTGTGATTTTCTGAATTTAAATCGGATGTAATCTTTATCACATTGTTTAATTATTATTTTTATTTTTATCACATTTGTCATATGTATTTTCTATGTGTCATGTATTTGTTTGTTTTCTTTTAAAATAAGTGAGACAACGATATATATTAACTAACAATATGGAGAGATTACTATTTCTTTAATTAATTATCTTAATTGGTTAGGTAAAAAAAATATTATTCAATTTAATTTATTCGTTACATATTTCGTTAATTATGTATATTATTTATTTCATATTTGAATAATATTTATTCGATTTTTCCTTTTACTATTTCTTTAATTAATTATCTTAATTGGTTAGGTAAAAAAAATATTATTCAATTTAATTTATTCGTTACATATTTCGTTAATTATGTATATTATTTATTTCATATTTGAATAATATTTATTCGATTTTTCCTTTTACTATTTCTTTAATTAATTATCTTAATTGGTTAGGTAAAAAAAATATTATTCAATTTAATTTATTCGTTACATATTTCGTTAACCATGTGTTTTATTTATTTCATATTTAATTACTCTATTTCGATTGTTTATTTGAATAATATTTATTCGGTTTTTCCTTTTACTATTTCTTTAAGTAATTATTTTAATTGGTTAAGTAAAAAAAATATTATTCAATTTAATTTATTCGTTACATATTTCGTTAATTATGTATATTATTTATTTCATATTTAATTACTCTATTTCGATTATTTATTTGAATAATATTTATTCGATTTTTCGTTTTACTATTTCTTTAATTAATTATCTTAATTGGTTAGGTAAAAAAATATGATTCAATTTAATTTATTCGTTACATATTTCGTTAATTATGTATATTATTTATTTCATATTTAATTACTCTATTTCGATTATTT